AGCCTCATGTGAAGCTAGACCAACACCGAACACTTCAGTGTAGCTCAATTTGCCCCACAAAAACACCGAATGCGTGGATTGTGCCTTAAATCCCGAGGGCACAGATCCCTCCCGCGGGCACAGCAGGGACACCGACCCACCTCAAACGGCAGAGCCGTTTGAGAGGAGCAGGGTGCGGCCCTTATCGCGGCAGGGAACAATACACGAGCTGACAACTCCTATCTCCTGCCTTTCACCAGGAAATAGCAGGCAGCTTCCTTATTGCCAGCTGCTGGGGAAACCTGAAGAACAATTAACTGGGACTAACTCCCTCGAAACGTGCCCATATCTGAGCAGCTCCTCAGTGAGGTTTAAAGAAAGGTGCCCTAATGGAGTCAGTGCTCCTCGGGTCATTCCAGGGATGATGGTGATAAAACCCCTCAGCACAAAAAAAGGCAGCGTTAAAGCAAACTAACCCCAAGCCTGGCCCATCTCACAGGCTACACCTGCACCTTTATTTTCCACTTCTGGACACCACGAGCAAGGAAGTGACCTCAACAGCCTCTTCACTGGACATTCGGCACAGGGTAATAATCAGCTTTTTTGACCAAAATACCACTTTGCTGAATTCCTGCCGCATTCCATGAGCTGATTGCTGGGCTCCTCCCCTTCGCTGGTACCGGGGAGATGACACCACCAGTGCCAGTTAATGTGTTTGAGCTCCTTTCCCTCCTGACAACTGACCCAGGTTGTTCCAGCCCCTCCCTTTCACACGCTGACAAAACCGTTTTGCTGCTTTAATGAAAGCAGAGTGGCTGCAGCAATAAGTGAAACGGATAAAGAAATAAACGCCCTCGATTAGAGACTTCGACGAGGAGAGTCACAGCAGGCTCAGAGTTCCTCAGTATAATCCTTTTAAAAATGAGTTTGCAAGAGCATATGCAAATATTTACCCTCAGCGCCTGAATGCAGAGGGTGTTTCACAGGGAAGGGGATTGCCTCACTCCCCATTTCCCGTGGTTACAGCAATCCGGGCAGGCTCCAGAACTGCTCCCTCACCTGCTCCCGGCGGGGGCCACAGCCCAGCAGGATTCCCTCCCACGAGAGCTGCAATCTGGAGAAGGCTGAGTGAAGTACTTACTGCTTTCTCTTCTTCCCCTCCAAAAAAATACCCCCCCCTAAATTTACAGGGAAAAAAATTGTAAATCTTAAATCTCAGAAGAGCTATTTCAATTACCTTATCTCTAATTATATTCAGCCTTTTAACTGCTGATTACAAAGTATTTTTTACCCACGTGCTTCAAAGAAAACCGATTACTTTTACCTCCAAGGAACACACCCAGTCCCCACTTACCTTTACACCTGCAATCAATTTTGTGCACTAATATTTATATTTGTGCTTGATAATCAGGGCAACATCCACAGTGTTTGTGCTTGCAATTAGCAGTGCCTGCAGTGAGGGGGAGGCTGAGTCCCACTAATTAAATAATGAAACCCAAAAGCACAGCAGGGAAGGACTTTCTGGAAGAGCATTAAGCCATGTCAAGTGTTAATGACAAGTATCTTTTAGCAGGCACAGGCAGCTGGAGCTCAGAAGGAGCTGCTCGAGCAGAAACACAGCATGACATTGGGATGGAGGGAAGGAACCAGACAACGGACAGTTTGGATGGAGCTGAGGGTGGAACTGACTGACTGAGCCTGACACAGGCGCTGGGCTCGGCCTGGCACACCCAGTGTGACCTGAGTTTGGCTTACACCAACACGATCCCTGCCCTGGTGGGGCACAGGGTGACTGCCAGGCACGGGCACGGCAGCACTGACACCCCACACTGCCTTCACAGGACGCTGCTGGGGAGGCACAAGGCACAGGGCAGGCAGGAGAGCGAGGAGGGAATTGAGAGGAGTAGCTCCAGCTCTGCCTGACCCAGCTCCCGATGTGCTGCTCGGAATTGCTTCCTATTTGCGTCCCACTCAAGGAAGCAGAGCCTCAGCCATCCCCCCAGATAATGAGACTAAAACAAGTCTCCATCACATCAAAGTCATCTCTGACGTTTAACCATTAGTCGTTGTCATGAGGGCTGTTACTTCCGGGTGATTTCCAGTAATTCCCAGAAAAAAACCAACCCAGCAGGATACTTTATTGTGTCTAAACTGCAAGGAACATCAGCTAAGAATAGTGATCTGTGCCAAGATTGTTTATCTTGCAGAGGAGTTCCTTTGAATTTGTGCTTAACACACTAAAGGAGATTACTAACTGCTTCCAGTGCATAACTGAAGAGATGTACAGCAAAAGGAAACTTTGGATTAGGGAGCAAAATCCTTGTTTTGAGGTGAAATCCTATAGGCTCTTTGGAAACTCAAAATGCAACTGCTGAAGTATCTTCTACAGTTAACAAATTTCACAGCGTTACCACCTGAGTTCACTACAGAGAATGGAAACATTCCAGCTGAAAAAAACACTGGGAAACATTATATCTCTGTTTATTTAAGCAAACATAAAACTATCCATTTGTAAATCTCATGAGGTTTATGTAACTTTCACTTCTATGGATTTCTTTACCTTTTACCACATCTTATCCCCAGGCAGAAGCAGGTAGAGTGACCAGGTCCTTCTTTAAAGGGTTAGAAAACTTCAAAATCCCAGCAGAGCTGAGTGGAATGGACACATGGAAACACAAGCTGAGGAACAATAGGTATGTGAACATATATTGAACTAGAAGTGGGGGAAAGCTCTGTTTTATAGAGATTTTCCAGTAGGAAGGAAGCAGGACTCTGAGGAGAGTGTTTAGAAAGGTGCAGTTTATTGGCTGTAGGAGAGGGTTTGTCTTTTTTAGTTGCTGTTATACCATCTCCTCATTCCAACCTGAATGGCATCAGTGTCACCCACTCCCTTGGAAGGCTCTGAGACACCACCAGAACTGTGAGAAGGAAATATCTGTGTCTCTCAGGTGAAGAGCAGATCTGAGGCCAAAAAAACCTGCCCCTAGAACTGGGGAGAGCAGCAAAGGGCTGTGCCACTGACCCACTGTCCTGCTGGGCACTGGACTCAGCTCTGGACTGCTGAGCTGATCACTCACAAAGTACAGTGCTGAAGTTTTAGCAGCCTGAAAAAGTAAAGTCCCAAACAGAGCTATGATTTTTGGACTGTGTATTGTAGCAGAACAAGTTCCCCATGACATTATTTTCAAAGGCCATATTTAGGCCAAAAACAAGTGAAAAAGCTGCTAGGGCCAAGGTTTAAGAAATACTGTTAGAATCATAGACTTATCAAGATTAGAGGAGACCTCTAAGACCATCAAGTCCAACCATTCATGTTCATCCTTTAAAAATCCTCAGGAGCAGCTGAATGTCCTTCGTGCTTTGAACCTCCTGACACTGAGCCTCAGACACTGAAATGTGATCTGTCAGAGCAGTCCATATGCAAACCTCCCCATCATTCACAGCCCTCTCTGAGGCAACAAGAAACCATACAAACCTCACACACAACTGAGCTGCAGCTTCCCCAGCTGTCTGTCCTTCAGAACTCACTCCCAGCTCCATCACACACACTGATTTGCTGTTGATGTTCAATGGAAACAGTTGGAGATGGATGAGCAAACGTTCGGATGAGAGATACCAAAATGTCAGACAGCCTACCGACTGTTGTTGCCATGAGATCCAACAGTCAACATCAGTCTGATAAGCTATCCGACAGGATGGTACAGCCACGGCACCACGACACTGCACCTCACCCCTGCACCAGCCTAAGCTAGGCAAGGGCAGGACCTAACCTGCCTCCTGTTTGTCCTGATAACACTAATTGAAAGGCAAATTAATTCGTGTTACTTACCCCTAGGATAAAGATAAACACAATAGTTCACAAATGATTAGAGCAATACAGAGCCAGCAGCAGTGGAATCTTACTGGAGAGGGAAAAGAGCCATTGTGGTATTAGTTCTGTTGTTGCACGTTAAAACTGACACACACTGATCTAACCAAGGCTTTAAATATCTGATCTTAAAAGCATCAAGGTAAGGTTCTCTGAGGTCTCTGCACCATTGCTGGGCTGGACATCCAATGTCTTCTGCTGGAATCTTCATTCTCCCCCCTCTCTCCTCTGCCCACAATTCTGGGATCAGACACCTGAGCAGAATTTATGACAACCAACACTTAACGCTCTGGAACCTATTTCAGCCAGCGACTGGTTGTCCTTCCTACTTCCTTCTGCTAAGTAAGAAGTTCTCAAGAAAAAAGAACAAAGAGTTCCAGCACCACCAGTGCAGGAAGGATGAGTAAACATGCAACTCGTGGCATTAAGGCTTCAGAAAGACACTGAGCATCCAAAAGTGGAGAGGGAAAGGAAGAGCTTAAAAAGACTGACACAATGAATTCTGGAATGATCAAAGATGACTTTATAAAGTTTTATCTTAACCTCGTTCTAAATATACAGAATAAAAAATGTCAGCTTCAGCATTTGACAGCAATCATCTCTGCTAACATCACCAAGTGGAACAGGGTGGCTTTTCCAACGTGCAATGCAATGGAACACTGGGAATTCTGATGGAAAAACCTTACCATGAGGGACATGCAACGGTTTGTATCCAATCTGTATTCAGTTATATACACTGTGATGCTGCTGAAAGTCATGGAAAAAGCAAACCAGCCACCCTTCAAAAGGAAAATCTACCCTCAGGTCAGCCTGAACTTCGGTCAGGAAATGGAGAGTATTAAATCACCAGTTTTGGAAGTAATTTGGATGGACAACGTTTGTGTCAAACACCATTTCCCACCCCATTGTTCATCCTGCACAGCTCAGACTCCTGAAGCATTTACACCTTACCATAACATTTCTAAGTTTGTCAATGAAATCTTTGCTCTAAAATCCAAATTACTTTCAAAATCAAAGAGAAAACTTGTTAAGAGTTGAAAACTGACGTTAAAAAGTTTCTTCCCCCCATTTTGAACAATGCTGATTTTTAAACATAGGAAAAGATGTGTCAATTCTGGTGCCTAAAACCCATTCCAAGGGTTTTTTTTCGAGCTCATTTGGTTTTCTCTTCTGAGTACATCTTCTGCTGCAGCCGCTTGGCATAGCTCTGGGCCATGGAGTTGATTATAGACAAGATAAAATAACAAACCATCACAATCACCAATTTCTCAAACATCCAGGAGAGCCAGTTTTCCCCCTGGAGAGACAAAAGAGAAGGAGGAGGAAAATGACGGTTAGTGGACAGGCCAAGGGAGAATTGTCCATGCTCTGGGTGAAAGGGGAAAGCCTGAACATGTCTTTATTATGTCATTTGTCAGGTTACAGGATTCCCTCTGGTCCCTCGGGAGACAGTGCAGGAGGGTCTGTAACCCCACTAACAGGCAGGTGCTCATTCCCAGGGAGCTACAAAAGTGATTTGTTATTCCCAGTATTGTTTGCTCTTCACTAGCAATCCACAGAGTTCGGAATTAACAAGCCCTGACTGTCATTCCCTGCCACATTCCTTGCAAAGAAAACAATAAGATCATCGATTAACAATGGGTTTTTTTCCTAAACTGCATATTCTGCGTTGTCTTCCCCATAGGATCTGACTGCTCCGGGGTCACTGGAAGTTACAGCGACTGTGCAGCTTTTCCAGGGAGACTGAGCCGTGTGTTCAGCCAAATGAGGGCAGCAACGCTCTGCACACACGGCTCGCGGCGGGAAGGGAATCTGCAGGCGGAATCACTAGATTCCAGCTCGATCCCACCGCGTTCGTGTCTTTGGAGGTAAGAAACGGGCAAAGGAACATTTGTAAGAGCTGCCGGTATTGCACGTGAGATGGGAGTTCCACTGATGGATTTTAGCTACAAAATGCCTCAGTGTCCGAAGGAATTTCATGTCAAAAATGTCATCCCTCGCTGAGAAGTCAGGGGAAGTTTTTTAAAATACTTTTTTATTTTTAATATAAAAGGACACTTTGCCCCTTGTTCCTGCTCGACGCACCTGGTTTCCTTTGCTTTTCACACACCGAAGGCTCAGGGATTTTATTTCTCTTACTGTCCATTAGCCCACAGTAACAGACAAACCCATTAACCTCCTGTCACCAATTCCCACGGAAATGCAACTTTTTCCTCCTTCAGTTTAACTTTCCAAACACGCAGCTAATGCAGAGGCAAGACATGCAGCTGAGCTTTATCCTGTCACTCCTTCTCAAAGGATTGAAATCCACTGCACACAATTACAGGATAATTTTTAATTCCCAGGTTGATTTTAAATGTGATTTTTCTCTCTTCCCTGGGTCACTGCAGAGCTTGGAAAATAAACTCGGGAGTTACCTCAGTAAAAGCAACAAGTCCAAAGCCAAGCAGAGAAGGAAAGCTGAGCTGGGCAGGGAGGCAGAGAGCAGAGGTTCTTACCTGTGGTACTGCACTGTCAGATTTGTGGTGAAGTTTTATCCTCTGAGCTTCCAAATACTCTTGAAATGGCTTCTGAAGAGAAGGACCTATACTTGGAATAGCACTGATGGAAAGTTCATCCCACAGAACAAGACAAAATAGGGGAGAAAACAAAAACAAAAAACATTGGTTTTTTTTTAAAAAAAAACTTACCACTTTACCTAATCAGAACAAAGTTCAGGCTGAGCTACAGCTCAGAAAGGAACCTGAAGCTACTTGAGAAAACAGAAAACCACGAAATGAAGTACATTTCATCTTTGGATCTGATACTTCGGGAAGGGACATATTCCCCACATCCTCAAAAAGTGCTTCCAAAGAAAACGACTTGTGAGCAACAGAGTGCTGGTAAGAAAGGAAGAGGCTGTGAGCTGGAGCATTTCCGTGGAGCCAGGAGAAGGCAGCTGGGGCTCTGCACTGCTGCAGTGCTCAGAAGCAAATGAATGACTTCTGAGAAGTCCCACATTTATCACCAGCAGTTCCTGTAAGAACTGGTTTGAACCGATTAATAAGGAAATGACTTGTGCTTGTGTCATCCCTCAGTTAAAAAAGAAACTGCTCCCCCTGTGCCTTGCCCCATCCCTCGGAGCAGACAGCCCCTTGCTCAAACCAAGTCCTTATTAGGACAATCTGTGCGTCATCCCTACCCGAAAAGAATGCGTTAGCCAATTGTGCGGCTCCTCCCCCGAGTCAGTGATTAACAAAGGAACAAAGAAGGAACTCTGAACCCTGCTCCGAATCCTGCCAGGCTTTATGGCAGATGACTTGCACAAAAGCCACAGAACGTTACTGAACACCTTGTTCCTGCCTGACCGTTGTGAGGGTCACGTTTGGCAGCTCAGGCTCCTCTGCCGCTCCGCGGGTGAAGGTGTTAGGGCACACTCAGCACCCTCCACCCTCCTCGCCAGTGCCACAGCTTTCTCCAAACCAACCCAGGGAGCTCTTCCTTAAATCCATCCATCCTGAGATTTAGCAGGAGATCCAACAACCTTTAATGATGGTCAACAACCCTTAAAAGAACCCCAAAACTCAACTAGTAGAATAAATTATCACCAGCAACGCCACGGCCTGAGCTGTGTGGTGAGAACACACACAGATCCAAAGCTCCCAGGGCTGGATCCACAGACACTGAGCACAACTCCTAACTCCAGCCATGGGAAAGTTCCCATTTGTGCCAAACACCACCTGAATTGCAGAGAGGATGGAGATTTTGGTGGGTTTTTTTGTTTAAAGACACCAATATCACAGACTCAGAGCTGGAAGGGACCCTTGAGGATCACTTAGTGAACTCCAATGGTCTTTTACATGTGAAAAGTCACCTCAGTTTCAATGCTTCAATTCTGGCTCTTTACACTACAACTACTTGACACCAGCACAGCTCCCAGGGAGGGTTTAGTAAAACCCACCAGACACAGCTCCAACTCATCCTCTCTCTCCTGACGCCTGTGGGAGTGAATCCCTCCATTTCTTCCCCTGATCTGACACGATATTCCCTTTTCCAGGCCGCAGCCCAATTAAAAATAACACCTTCTAATTTCATGACTTGACCAAAACGCACAGAGTGAAGAAACAAAGTGTCTCATTCTCCTCCACAAATCCCTTTCCAGGGGCAAAGAGTTTTTGGAACCTATTTACAAGCAAAAGATCATTTCCCTCATGATTCACCAACACGATGATACAAATGGAGGAGGAAATTGTGCCTGGACTGGTTAAATTCCTTTTACACGAGAGTGTGTCAAGGTTACAAAGGATCCCCAGAGATTCAGCCCTGTCCCTTCGGAGCTGAGTGTTCCAGGGAAGCTCTCCCAGCGACTCGTGAACCACGAGTCACTCTCTGTCCATGAGGCACATTTTGAGGTTTCTTTGCTTTTTTCAAATGCTACTCGGGAGCCCTGGAAGAGCCAGTGCAAGGTAATAGTTCACTTTTCACCTTCTGCATGATTCTGAAATGAGGAGGGATGAATGATTCACAGAGTGTGCTCAGTGACTCTGTCTGCCACGAGAACTGAGCTTGGTCGGTCCTAAACGAGCATGAAGTGATGGAACAAAGACACAAAACCCAAGTCCAGAGGTTTGAAAAGCTCCTGGTGCATCAACACTCTTATTTCAATTTTTTCCTCACTGAACAATTTGCTCTTTTCCCCTTTTCTGGGCACAACAAAGATTTAAGTGCACAAAATCAATCTGATTAAAGTCATTTGAAGAACTAAACTCCTGAATGAAAGACTTTGCCTTCTCAAAGTAGATTTTATTTGCACATTCAAGAAAAAAGAAGTGCCTAAATTTAAATGAGGAAAATAAAGCAGAGGAACAGGTAGAAACTCATCACTCCAGAGTGTGAGGAGGGAACTCCTCGAGGTTGCAGCAGGACAGGGTTAGTTACTTGTGTCAAATTCAGCAAAGGTGGTCACTGACAGCCAAACTGTCTCACGGTCTCAGCTCTAAGAGCCTCACAAATCAGTTTCCATTTCATTTCATTAGACACAGTGAGCTCTGTGCCCCCCCAGGAGGGTCTGGGCTAAACGTGCAGGCTGAGCCTGGGCCCGAGGCAGGACAGGCCGAGGGGACACATCTGCCCCTCCACTCTGAGCTGAGCTGCAGTTTCGGGAGCCGAGGCAAACCACAAGCTGCAGCACCGAGATGCTGGGAGATAACCCTACACCAAATCCCCGCGGGAATCTAACCATTCTCTTGCAAATCAGAGCAGGAAAGGAAAGGAAAATGAAAGGAGCTCAGTGCTCGGCCACACTTTGTAGTGTGCACACACAAACCCCCAACACCCAACACCCAACTCTGCAAAACAGACTGGAGGCACTTCTAGCAGAAAACTCAGGAAAAAATCCTTTGGGTTATTTTTTTTTTTTGAAGGGAAAACCCAACACTAAAGACATTCTGATTCAGAAGAAATTTTAGAAACTGTTAACATTAAACATGAAATTTTTGTTTGAATTCATTCTGATTCTCTGCTCAAATTCAATGTTACAAACAGAACTGAAACAGAACAAACTGGAAAAAAATTGCACAGCCTAAATGAAATGAAAAATTAATTTAGAAATCAAATCCATTGACAAATTCTATTAGTAGCATTCCAGCCAAACCATGACCTGCATTCTGTGCCACAGCCCACGGAGGATTGTGCCTCCCTGAAACTCTGTGGCAGCCTCTTCTCATTCTCTGGGACTTGTAATTAAAGATGCCTATTTATTGTTTTAACTCAGAGCTACAATTTCTAGCCAAATTAAAAACTCTGAAGCTGTTTTCCCAATAAATAAAGCTTCGCATCTCTTCGAGGCACCACAGGACAGAGGATTAGTTAAGAGAATTACACCAGGGACATAGAGATTCTGACTCCTAAAACTTCCCTTCCAGTTAGGGCTACACTTTTACTGGCAATTTGTTAATTTGCTTTTCCAAGGATAACTAGCAACAGTTGCACCTCAAATCCTTGTCCTTGGCCATGAAGATTTTGGGGAAACTTCAATCTTTGGAGCTCCAGGGAGGAGATTTCTCCCAGGCACCAAATGAAGCACCAAACCAGACGAGAGAACTTGTATTTTCCCCATGGCAGCTCACAAAAAGTAGGAAATTGATATTCCACTCAATTTAATTCCCACCGAGATTAAAAACACTTATTGAATACCATTTAATCGTGGTATCTGCACTTTTGAAATAATTTTCCTCATTCAGGAGCTTTAGGAGTTGCTCCTGAGTCACTGAAATGTCACTCCCTGAGCTCAGAGAGGTGATTAATTCCAAGCTGAAGTACAGGTCTGTGTCAAAATCTGTCAGGACACACTTTAGGATATAAAGTTCCACCTCTAAAGGCACATGTGGACATTTGCCCCTTTTCCAGAGGGGAATGTTGGAATTCCCAAGTGCTGCCACTGCTCACTCACATTTTGGACACATTTACACAGAGGTTTTTCACTGCTAAGGAAAGTTTCTCCTTCATGAGAGGCCTCGAACAGCAAAGGATGATGAAGTGATTAACTCTGAGCAGTTCTTAGACTCCATTTATCCTGATGGAATTAAAAATGGAAATAGGAAGAGTCTGACACCCTGCGCAGCACCTCGGGAACAACTGGGATCCATCCCCACTGGTGATGAGCACAAAACAGAAAGGTTTGAAACCATGGAGGTTTCTCTTATCATGGAGATCTATTTTATCATGGAAACAATATCCCGGGGGAGAGCAGAGCAGCCGAGGGGGAGCAGATGGTGCCACTCCCGCCAACACAGCGCTCTGCTTGGAAAGGTGATGCAATCTTGAGTCACGGCCCCACTGGGGGATCATCTCTCCCATATCCGCAGCCCCCAGGTTGGAAAATCCCTTTAACCGTTCCGGGGCTGGTGCTGTCAGACTCCACACCCCGCGGGCTCTGGGGAAAAAAACCACCGAGGGACTCTGCTCGGATTCGACTTTTTGGGCTAGGAGAGCCGGAGAAAACATCCTTTAGGAAGTGCCACAATTCCATATGAATTGACAACAGCGAAAAAGCTGTTTGGCACAACAGAAAAGCAAAGGGAGAGGTAAATACCGTGTGGGTTTGTGCACAGCCCCTGCCCTGCGGCCAGGGATTATCTCCAGACAGGGAGTTTAGTGGCCCTGAAGAACTGACCAAGGACCAAAGAGGTTTTGCCATGAGCTCTTCCCTCCCTCCAACGCCTTTGATAACCTATTCGAACCAGACTGCTGCAGCCAGGCCAGAGGGGAAGGCACAGACTTTCACCTTCCCAGCAGTTATGCAAACCACCCTTACACCATCCACTGCAAACATCCCGTTTCTCCACTCCCCTGGAAGAACACAAGAAAAATCCACCGTGCAGCTCCAAAGCAATGAAACATTCAGGAAGAGGCACCGAATTTGGTTATTGAGCCACCTCTCCCTCTGAAGCTTCACTCCAGCCTGGTGGGATCAACTTCTTTGGAAAACCATAGACAAACAGATTCCAGTGGAAATATTTCTTAGCCACTGGAAGATTAGCAAAGCTGATTGATTTGCATAGCACTGGCTAAGCAGAGCACCTTTCTTCCTGCAGCTCAGCTGAGCCTTCAATGGTTAATTTTTTTTCCAGACAGTGATCTAAACAGGCTTAACGGTTAGTATTTTAATGAGCTGTCATTTCCTGTGCTGATAAAGATTCTCACAGTATTTAAACCATCCACTTCCCTCAGGCTGCACCACCAGCAGGACCCTGCAGTGACTCAGTGGGGCTCAGCCCTGGGGCTGCTCAAACCTGAGCTCTGGCTCAGGAAAACCTGGGAGCAACCACAGCCTTCAGCTTCCATCACCACCACTCGGGCTCGGCACGTGTGGTGGAGCTGAGCTCTTCTCTGCTCTCGGTGCTCCACAGCTGCAGAAAATCACTCTGGTTTCTGGTCGGGATCGACAGAAACGTTTGGGGGTTAAAAGGCTTCTTGAAAGATTCATTTGCTTTACGAGATGAAGAAAGAAAATGTCTCATTGAAGATTACTAAGCTAAAACGATCACAGGTTTGACATCATTTTTACCTGAGCCACTTCCAGCGCCCACAGTAACCCAAGAGGATTCCCTGGGACAATGTAAACCAACGCTTACAAAAGTAGGAATCACAACTCTGAGCTGCCTTAGCTCTGCTCACCATTGCTCTTTGTAAGGAAACCTCCACCGGGATTTTAAAGACCTTTTTTAAACTCAATTTAGGGAAAAAAATTCTTTGCTTGTTCAGAGTTAAATCCTTCAAGCCTTTTGCAAATAAACTCTTATAACTCTGTGGTGATCCACTGGAAGGTGCTTACAAAAGTAGGAATCACAACTCTGAGCTGCCTTAGCTCTGCTCACCATTGCTCTTTGTAAGGAAACCTCCACCGGGATTTTAAAGACCTTTTTTAAACTCAATTTAGGGAAAAAAATTCTTTGCTTGTTCAGAGTTAAATCCTTCAAGCCTTTTGCAAATAAACTCTTATAACTCTGTGGTGATCCACTGGAAGGTTTTCCACACCAAAGCTGCTCAAGTTTCATCCATCTGTGTCCCTTTCAAGGCTGTGAAGCCTTTGTTGTGCTCAGGTTTGGGGTACCTGAGGCAGGAGAGCAGTTGGGTTATGGCACCAACAAGTGCCAGGTGTATCCCTGTAACCTTCCAGAACTTTCCTCAGGAGGCTGTGAAGTCAGTGCTCAGCTCTCTATGTCCTCAGCCACTTCAGGTTATTTTGAGTTCTACTGCACAGGTTTTATCTTAGCTATTGATTGGAACCTGTTCTTCAAAACACCCTTTTTAGACCAAAACAGAATCTGTAAGCAAATTTTCCAGTTCCACCAGTCACTCTCAGCTCTTTTGTGCCTTTCTGGTGAAAGGAACACCATGTCCTGACCAGAATCAACTGAGATTAAGTTGTAAGCACAGAATTATGGCACAATAAATAGCAGCAAACTGGTTTGTCAAGGCAAAGGCTCCAGTGCTGTGGCCAAACTCTGCCTGCAGAGCTGGGGAGCAGGGAGAGCTGGTCACAAACAACAGGGGCAGGAGCCTTGGGAAGCAGTGAGAGTTTGGGGCAGATTTCCAGAGTGTGTTGAGTTATGCACATCTCACCCAGGGCACGTGGCACTAACAAAATGACTTAAAAACCTGTGGAAGTGGCACATTTTTAGATGCATTTTATTGGCTTCTATTTAAACTTCAGAGTAGTTTATTGACTATTAGCTGAAGAGATGAGTTTCTACTTCTGTCAAAATCTGTAAGGCAGCAGAGAGAGGTGGTGGCTGCTCCATCTCTGGAGTGTTCCAGGCCAGGCTGGATGGGGCTCAGAGCTACCTGAGCTGCTGGGAGGTGTCCCTGCCTGGGCAGGGGTGGGATGGGATGACCCTTCCAACCCAAACCAGTCTGTGATTTACTCCTGGTACTCCTGTGGAAGTCCTGAGGTTCACACACTGTGAGAACATGCTGAACTAGAAACAGATTTCTTTCCTTTCTCAACATCTCCTCAGAATGGATGGCACCAGTTTTGTGGATTTGTGTGCTTTGAGAACTACTTCTCTAGTAGTTTTCTGGGAATTCACTGCTACTTCCAAGAAAACATCCTCGTGCTTAAAAGCACTTTGCTCAGTGTGACCTCACCAACATCACCTGCAGCTGTAGGTGAAAAAACTACAAGGCTGAAGAGCCAAAATAAAACCCACAGCACACATGATAATGAAGTCCTTGACAAGGGCTGGGCCTGGTCCAAAACCAGCCCCGAAGTGCTTTCCCGGAGTGATCAGTCAGGTAAACTCTTCTCCAGGTGACAGAAGACAAGACTCCCACACACCATCACTCCTCACACCCTCAGGAACCTAACACAACCTGTGAGGGAGCACAGTCCTCTTCCAGCACTTAGGCACCAACAAAACAATTAAACTGGTAGAACAGGTTAGTAATTACCAGCACCTCTGTAATCCTCCTCAACTCGGACTGCAGCCTCACACCACCTCCAGCTTCCCCAGCCCACCCAGTGCTGTTCCTCCCAACGAGGTTTGCTGCCACCACCAACCTTCTGACCAGTTTTGTACTCTAGGTACCACCCAAAAATCCTGAAAGGTTCTAAAAATTGTCTGTAAACAGCTTCTCATTTCCTGCCACATTTTCCTTTCCTTTCTTTATTGCTATAAAGAGTATTTTATGATCCATTTTGAATGGAGACCAAGACAAAATTACCCCCAACAATACCAACCCAACCTCAGCACCACTCGGGGACAGAACAAACACTGAGCTATGGGTTTGCAGTGGAATTGGGTTTGCTTTTGACCAAAAATCACATCATGATCAGGAAATTCCCTCTGGCTTATAAAATCCAATATTCTCAGGCTTTACCTCACAACTTAACCTTCTGTGCAGATCTCAGTTATCCTGCAGAGACATCATAATGTCCAGAGAATGTACAAATGGTGTGTATAGATACAGAATTTACATACAATATACAGAAAATGTGTATATGTTTTGTATATACTCCTTATTTTCAAGGACTGTGCTCAGTATTTCCTGCTGTGTAACAGCAACAGGACAAGCAAAGTCTCAGGTCATTGTGGTGATTGACTTTGATTGAAACAAAGTTCCTAACCATTAAATAGGAGGGGATTTTAATTCAGTCACAGGGGGTTAATACAAGGTATTGTTCAACATGTTTTCTGCTCCACTCCACCAGAAATTGATGAGGTAATGCTCGCAGACAGCTTGGGAAAAGTCAAGGATACCAGGACATTCCAAAAATCTTACTGTCTCCCAGGAACATTTTTTCAGTCTGACATAACCCTCCAATAAAACCCAAACCAGCAAAGCTCCTCCGAAGGCACTTGGAGTAATTCAATGCAAAATTATCTCCAAGACAGATGAAGTAGGAAAAAACTACAAGTTTTGGCTCAAAGAACTGCAGGAGAGTAAATCCTTGGAATGCTACCTGACCTAGGAGAGTACAGATCAGATTGTCTGGTGTGATGGATGCTCAGAGAAACTCCTGCTGGGTAGAAGGAGCCACATTTCTCCCTTTCTCAACATTCAATAATGTTCAGAGAAACACATTAGTGCTGAAGTTCGGTGCAAAGCAGAAGATCAGAGGTAATAGAGTCAGGATTAATTTCAGGAGTGAAATTCCCTACGAGTTCCTGTCACACTCCTTGTCTTTGTACACCACCAGCACGGCAAGGTTAGGGATTGTAAAAGGAATTATTTCCAGACATTCCTCCCTGAAACTGTTCGTGAGGACTGAGACTTATCAGCCAGGGAATGGATTTCAAAGCAACACGGAATTCCATGGCTGAGCAGGTAAACATGAGGCAAAATCCTAACACTTCACCCCCAGTGCCCAACTCTCAGTCAAACCACTTGGCAATACTGTGGGTTTGTCTTTTTTCTTCCCTGACCTGTTGCCAGCTGAGGTTTTGGTTGGTTTTCTTGTTTGAAACTGAGATTTTAAAAAGATAGTAATTCATTACTAAAGGACTCAGAAAAAAACAACCAACAAACCTTCTGAGAATCAGCACAGTTTGTCCATGAAAACTGTCATTTCTCCCAGGTTTAACAGACTGGAGATCAGACTCTCCACGTTCCTCATTCTGATCTTTTGTGAGAGATTTCTAAATGTATAATATAGCTTGAATTATGAAGATGTTTATTGGCCTCTTGGCACATGGCACAAAATCCCAAGTTTGTAATACAGAATCATAGAATTCTACGATTTTCTCTATAACTTTCTATAAATTTTCTCCTTTTTTCCACAGGATCTCATTACCATACCTAAGCAAGTCCCTGAAAAGCAGCTCACTTGCAGCTGGAAGTGCAGGAATCTGACTGGGGGAGCTGCATCCATTTCTGGGGGAGAGTTCACTGCTCTCCTCCAGCTGTGACCTTGAGGCTCTCACGTTTCTGGAGGTACTCGAAGCCCTCGAGGTGAGGAGTGAAGCTGCAAGTCAGCCCTGACCTCTGTGTGGGGCAGAGCTGGCACTGGAAACACAGCAGCAATTCCGGCACATCCAATCTCACTCCTCCAGTACTTTTCCACTTAATGAGTGAAGGTATTAATTAGTGGTGCAGAGTTACTCACCCGATGAGGGACACCATCTGCTCCACTATGTGTTTGCTGAACGTGATAATGACAAAAAGTTTCTGTAGGAAGGAAAACAGCAGTTAGAGAAACTTGGGATCAGAAGGGAAGCACAGTTTGTCCCTTCCCAAGCAGCTCCTCCAGCTCTCCCTTCTCTCAGCTTCCAGACCTTTAGTTTTCCATGTTCTCCCCAAAAGAGGCAGGAGAGAGAACAACTCTTCACTTTGTTACTGTTTCCTCACAGCTTTCATTCCTTGCCCTGTTTTTGCAGCCGATGTCACTACCCATTCCCATCCTCCCCACACTGCCATTCCCAGAAGCTCAAGGTCACTTTACTCCGTCAACAATGTTTTCATGGAAAAACAGTCACTGCAGTGCAGAAAGATTCACATCCCTTACACAAACACATGGACTTAGGGAGCACAGATGTGAAAAATCACATATTTTAGTCCCCCAGTTCGTGTGGCTCAGACAGAAACATAACAATACTTGGAAGAGAACAAATCCAGAGCCCTTGGGCACCTGACACTGGGATGCAACAGTACTGGGAACAGAGGATTGCAATTAACAGTTCTAATGTTGCAGAAAATCCAAGTGTCCATGGTTTTATCTCTCCCTTTTCTCCTAAAACAAGTTACAAGGTAGCTAAATTGCCTTTGCCACTCCGGTGTTGGTGCTGTGTGGCAGCTCCTCGGTTTGCTGAGAGAGAAGGAGCCTGGGTAGGTGAGGGAACACACAACTCCCACCGTGTCCTCAGCACTGCTCCAAGCACTGCCCTGCCAGGCTGGAGAGCAGGGAGGGTGGCACAGCTCCCCCCCAGCCCGTGGGGAGGGAAGGGGCAGCTGGGAGCAGCTCAGGGATGGTCACTGCAGCTCTCCCTCACTTCCTGTCTGCACAACATTTCATTGCAAGCCTTTCCATGACTCTCACATTGCCTAAATTCCAGGTCCAGCCAGATCACTCCAAAAAATCAAGGCTATTGCACAAGGGTGTGCTTGAAAAAGAGACTTCTAATAGTTGAACCTATTACAAAATCAGATGATTTACCAACTGTCCAAGACACTGGGAAATGTTTTTTCACTTCCATGTGACCTGAGTGGGGAACACTCTAAATCACACAGCAAACACTGGGAGAGCTGAACGAGGCAATTAAAACTAGAGCAGGAATATTGATTAAATATTGTTTCACTTTTCCACGCTGCCACAGCACATTCTCCCAGCACAGATTTAAAGGCATAAAAATTCAGCTGGTACAAAAATAAGTGTGGAGAAAAAGTTGTTCTGTCACAGCAAATGAATTTCCAAACCTATTTACTGTTTGCTGTCTAAGGACTGAGCAGAGTAAAATAACCATTTACAAATTCATAGGGAGAGGAAAAAAAGCTGAAGACTGAAATCTTCTGTTCAGGGCAAAATGAAGACTTTTAAGCTGCTTGATGAGATTATTAGAAGAGTTATTTTATACTACTAATAGCTTCTGCTATTTTGGTGTAGTCACAGCAGAGATTTTCAAGCAACACAGCCACAGGCACTGCACCAGCCTGAAAAACCCAAGTGTCAGCTGAAAACAGCCCCAGGAGAGCAGAGAAGCTGGAGCTGCAGCACTGACCACACCAGAGTCCTCCCCAGGGAACCAGAGCTTCCCTGGACACAGTGGGGGCGCATTTAACTCAACTGCAGCTTCTGCTTGTCATACCCAGAACATCTGGTACAGAGCTGAGATCGGGTCCTTTCAGAACCACGTGGAGGTGTGAGGACACCCGAAATCCCTAACCTGCCTGAAGGCTGTGGACAATCAGCCCAGGGACAACCCCCAGGCTGCACCCTGCGGGGCTCAGGGCGCGGGATGTGCTCTGCTAGTCAAGGGAGACAAAAAGAGCACTCAAGTGCTTCCTCCTCCCCTTCCTCCTCCCCCAGCAGACTGGCTGCAGCCCGCGAAATGAGTGTGTGTTACAGAAAAGGCAAGTTCATTATGAGTCCGAAGGCCTCTCAGTCTGGTAAAACCCGTAGGTAAATACCTTGGCTAACCACCAATTTCCTGAGCGGGGTAGGCAGAGAGCTCATTACTCCGGAGCTATAAATTACTCAGTTGCCTCAGTTTTGAGCCTAAGGAGCTCAGCAGATCCTTTATTGTAAAGCCTTTGCACCAAATTAATTTCCATTCCTTCGGGTCAGGGAGACTCCAGAATTCATTAGGAGTAACACAGTGGAACAGCAAACAAACACGAAAGGCCCCGAGGAAGGGGCAGTACTTGCCTGGATGTGCATTTTAATTACTGCTTTCCCAATCAAGGTGGCACCGAAGAAGGTCCAGAAGGGAACCAGGAAGTGCCCACATGTTATCCCAGCCAGGTCAAACAGAGGGTTGGGGATCTGTGAAGTGCAAGGGAGAGAAGTTCATGAGTTGCAGCTCATACTTAGCTCAACAGGAACGTGATAGACTTTGGAACTCTGAAAAATGAACAGTTTTTCCTTATCCAACTTGATGCAAAACTCTTGTGCCTTAATGATTACAGAAATGATAATATCACATCACTTGAGTCTCTGGGATTCAGCTAGACAATTCCAGCCTCATGGTCCCTCCTTACCCCGGTGTTCTGAGGCAAAAGCTAACACCAATTTTCCACGTGAAATGCACAGAAACCACAGCAAAGCCATTCTGAGTGATTGATCAAATTTTCTCCCTGACAAGCACATCCCTCCTGGAAGCCAAAGCTCGACCTGATCCCCAGGGATTTCCAGCTGAGACCCTACACTACAAACTGCATTTATAGCCATGTGTCTCCACTCTGAGAGCTCTGATCAGATTTTACTAAGCATGTGCATTTCATTTGAAATTAGAAGTTGGCTTGACTTTTGGTACTGTGATATTATCTGTGAAATATTTTGGAAATGAAACCAAGACAGTATCCACATCCCAACCTTTCCCTGTTGTTCTGGGTTTGACAGGGACAGGCTGAGGGAGCACAGGGGGTGTGACTCCTGGGAGCAGTGAGGGACTGGGTGATATCCTGCAGGACTGTGTTGGTTTGATCCACAGATGAAGAAATAAGGAGTGTAGATCGTTAAGGGATAAAGGACAGGAACTCTGCCCCGACTGGGAAGCTGCAGCCTGTGAGAAAGCTCTGCAGGGTTATACTCAGCTGGTACAGAGCAGCAATTCAAATTTATGAGCAGCCACAACAGCACCTGCAGAGGAAGAAATCTGAAACGGTCTCTAATCACGGCCCGGAACGGTCCCTGCCCAGCTCCTCCCAGCAGAGCTGGTTCTTCACCTGGGACTGCTGTCCTGGGCTCAGAGGGCTGGGAAATGACTGACCCACACCCAGCACAGCACTGAGCTCCTCAGGGTCAAATCTGCTCCAGGCCTCACTGCTCTTGGTTGGCTGGTCTGGGGTTTCTCTGTGAGCTCACCGAGGTTTAATTGCTGCAGTGCTGCTGGCACAGAGGGAGCAGAGAGCTCCAGGGGCACTGTGGGTGCCACCAGTGCACTGACATGGTGAGGAGTTACTCAACGAGTCCCTCTGAGGGTATATAAGTAGCTCAGGGAGGTTTCTCTGTGCTTGTTACCAAGAACTGCCAAAAGAGCCCACAAAGATGTGAGGGCAAATTCTCACAAGTCCCAGCGAGGATCTTCAGGGCTGAGTCTTGCTTTGTTCCTCCTGAGCTGCCTTGACACAGAAATAAGCTCCAGACAACACTTATGGCTTCCTTACTGCCACCAAACAACGTGACAGGCAGTTACTTCACTGGAGAAACTTGCAGAGTTTCTACCTCCATTTGATGGTGCTTTATGCAGCACTTAAGCCACCACAGACAACAACCCACAGCTGGGACAGTCATCAGCACTGCATGGGCAAGTTCCCTGATCATAAAAAACACAGCACATAAAATACTGATTCAATTCCAAAAGTAAGATCACGGTTATGAAGGAGGCAAGGGAAGGAGACACTTCCCAGCGTGGAAAGAAGCAGGAGAAGCCTTGAATCAAAGCCCTGAACCAGATACAATGCCAGGAGCACATGGGCACTGCCTCCCTCACCTTCACACGTGCCCAGTCTGCACCAGTGCCGTCCAGAGCCTCTGCCACACCTCACCCTCAGCTGCTGTGTGAGCACACTGACAGCCCTGGGTGTGCTGTGGTGGGTGGCTGGCTCCTCATCCCTCTCCCAGCACAGCTGGGGCAGCACAGACACCAGGGCAGAAAGAGGGAAGAAGTTAAACAAATGTTTAAGTATTGCTAAGCAGGAACTACAGAGTGTTTACACGTCACCTCTGGTGTTTACCAACTCCTTCCTCATGTTCTCCATTCATCCATACTCCACCTTGTCCAGCCACTCCAGGAACTCATTCCTGCCACCTCCAAGCTGCTCTGGTGACACAGGACAGGGAACAGCCAGGGCAGGGATGTCTCACAGGACGGTGACTCGGGAGCAGTGAGTCGGGGCAGGGAAGGAGCCTGAGAGCTCCCTGGGTGGAAAGCTTCAAGGAACAGCTCAAAACCTATGTCTGTGTCCACTCTAAACATCAAGACAGCTCAAGAGATTAGTGACCAGCAGCTTTATGCCAGCAGCTGTAACCAGATTAATTCTTTCCAGCTAACACAGGTTACCTACAGCTGAGCAAGTCGTTAGCGATGTCATCTCTACAATTTAGGAAACTCAGAGAGATGCTGGACAAGTGTGGAATGAATACCTCATCAGCAGAGCAGCTGGATAACGCCGTGGTTATTCCAGAGGAATGGGATGGTGGGGGCCCCACACTGCCCCCAGTTCGTGTGTGGGATGAGGAACAAGGCACACCATCCCTGCCATTCCTCGTTAAGCTTACAGAGAAACTCCGATGGTTCTGTATTTTTCTGCTCTGACAGAACAGCATTATCCTACTTAAACCACTAAAACTGCATCAGTGGAGATGCTTTGTATCACCTCTTGCTGAGAGAGAAAAGAGCTGCAAACAGTTTGTAGCTCACAGCTATGACTGAAATCTGCTCCCTCCCTCTGCCCTCTCTGGCTCCGACCGACCCAGAGAGCAGGGTTAGGAGGATTACAGTGGATGGATACCCTAATCTGGATTTAGACAGGTAGTTTTCCACTCTTCAATCCATGCAAACCTCTGGATTGGAAGATGTCAAGCACTGTACACAAACAGCTAAAGAAATGATAACCTAGGTCCAGCAGATTCCATAGGCAATAACTGAGCTGTGGCTGTAACCACAGGAAAACTGTCAGTGGGGTATGAGCTGATCTGCTGGATATCCACTGCCACAGAGCAGCTATTAGAGAAGACATGAGCAAATCCAGGGAACATCCCTGGGCTGACACAGAAACTTCTGGAATTTTGTCTTAGTTCAGTCTTTTCTAAATTCTCCTTCCTGCAACAAACCTTTGGCATCATCAGTGACCTGACCTGTTTTATCAGGTTTCCCCATACCAGGCTGGACTAGAGAATTAATTGCTTTATCATTTGAAAAATATAAACCACTAGAGCTGTCCTTTTCTGATGGATTAAAATGGAAACAGAACTATTCCAAACTCATCACCTTCCCAAGAGAACTAGTGACAAAGGAGTAGTAACTGTCAACTGGGATTATCTGCAGCATTCCCTGTGTTTGGTACTACCCTGGCACTGGAGTTTCTCCATGCTGTCTTGTCAGTCCCACAGTGATCCCATTTCTCTGGGCACCACGGAGAGCACAGGAATAGTGAACAAGGATCGTGTGGACTCACAGGTCCCAGCACTCATTTCATGCCACACATTCAACCTGCACTTTGTGCTGACAAATCCTCCTGTTCCTGACATGAACTTACCGAGGCACAGGCCAAAATCCCAAAGAATCCAACCCTCTGCACCAGGTTCTGCACAGCCAGTTTGGCTCGGGAGGCAAAGTCCTGCAAACCAGGAAACAAAGTGTTACTGAGGCAAAGCCCAAAGGAACAGACCTAAAATGTGTCTGATTTCCATGTCCTCCTTCCATGGGGATTTCCTACCTAGGAACTGGGAGAAATTCTAAAAGAGAAAGGCAGTTTGAGGCTCAGAGAGGAGAGAGCAATTCCCAGTGCTGAGGGTGAACATCTGAGCACACACCGAGCTGAGGTTTGTTCCCTGAGCTCTGTGAGTGGCACTGAGCTCTCACCACCAAAAAAAGTTTTCTAGTCTTTATTTCCTTGTATCTCTGAAATGCCAGTGCTGCTTATCCCTTATTCCTTAAACAGCCAAAGGGAATTCATTCCTTCCATGCCATTTCCAGCATTAAAAAGGTACAGAACAACAACAAAAAAAATCCCTTTATACCCTTAGATCTGTTCTCTCAAACTCAGGATCTGAATCAAAACAGCCAATTCCAGGGCCTGTCCACAACAGACTGGGAAAAGTTATTCAAATCCACAAAGCTGGATTTCTTCTTTGAAAAAATCCTTTCAAAATCCTTTCAAAGCAGTGAAGGTTCAGCCTCTGGAACAATTTGGAGTTGATCTGCTCCAGCTAACAACATGTACCTGTTGTTATTTTGGGATCACAACTTATTCCCGAGATTCACAAACACCCAGGAAAAGTTTCAGAAACCAAAAGTAAAGTTTTCACAAAAAAGTTTTTTGTTTGCATGTGAGAAGTGAATTTACATGAGAATAAAATGACTTTGGAATTACATGAGAATAAAATGACTTTACTTTGAAAGGAGAATAAAATGACTTTGGAATTACAGGAGAATAAAACACATAATATTTGTGTATATTGATACAATGAAATATATCAACACAACATTGAGATAATTAATGTAATACAACATAAAATAATGGAATTCTGGGAGAATAAAATTCCCTTCAAAACAGTCCAGAGGGTTAAAATCAAGGTCAGTATTCCCTGCTGAGGCTTGGGGAGAATAAAATGACTTTGGAATTACAGGAGAATAAAACACATAATATTTGTGTATATTGATACAATGAAATATATCAACACAACATTGAGATAATTAATGTAATACAACATAAAATAATGGAATTCTGGGAGAATAAAATTCCCTTCAAAACAGTCCAGAGGGTTAAAATCAAGGTCAGTATTCCCTGCTGAGGCTTGGCCACAGCAGGGACAGAGCTGGGAATCTTTGGGAAGAGAAAGCATCAAAAAATAATTATTAATTCCCTTTTAAAAGCCTCAAAAAGCAATTATTAACTCCTTTTAGAAGCCTAACAAACAATACAGAGCTGATTTTCCAGGAGCACTGCAAAGTCACTAACTGCAGAACTGTCTCTGTGTTGTAGGAAACTATCAGAAAAATCACCCCAGGAAATTACTTTAATCAGTAATTAATGGTAGTCTAAATTCCACATTTACTACTGAATTGTAGAATGTAGAAAATAATTCACTTATTGATTAAAGCACCTACAGATCATCCAGAGAATATCAATTTATTGTACCTGTTACAGCTATTAAAACCTTCAATGCACAAATTATTTGACAATGTTCTCTGAGTCTTTTAAATTCTGAGCTAGAGAACTGACCATTTTCTAGGTATGATTAAAAAAATTAACCAATCTATAACACAGCCATTTATTTCTTTTTACAGCCTCTTTCAGGGAGTAACTTTTCTCCCTTCCTGTGCTTGAAAACAGTTAAATTGGCAAGTGAAACAAAACAATTCTTACTGAAGTCAGAATAATTCTATTTATTCTACTTTATATTGGAAAAAATAACCCAAATTTCAGGGAATATTTCACTGACAGAAAAATGCCAAGGAATTGAGTTTTCCTACGTGTTACACTGAGACATTTTTAACCCCAGGAAAATAGAAAAAAACTCTAGAATATTCTCCAGGGGTGATTTGCTCCCTCTGAGCAGGAGTCACTCCCTTGTAAAAGGGAATCACAAAACATTCACTTTTAGCTCAAAACTGTTCCTGGTCGTTCTGTATTTCATTACAGATAATTAACAGTATCAATCTATTGTATATAACTACTATTATGTTTTTTATTGTCATGCAATTTCCAAATAATTTTATTCTTATGTAAATTCACTTCTCACAAACTTGGTGAAAAACTTTACTTTTGTTTTTTAAAGTGTTTCCTGGATGTTTGTGAGGCTCAAGAGTAAATTGTGAGCCCAAATTCACAATTTTCCTCCTTATCTCCAAACACTCCTCAGGGTTGAACCAATATTTTCACTTTTATAAGCCAATAAATAATCTTTTCTCACAGCTCCATAAACCTCAGTGTGAAGGAGCCTTAAAATCAAGCACTACATTGATATATTTCCCTGGAAGTTGATTCTATTCTGATTTTAATGTATTTACAACAACAACAAAATCCTATTCCTACATTCAGTGTATCAATGTCTCTTAGCCTGTGCTGCTGATACAGTTGGATTAGTTTTCCCAGCTGAAATTAGAACTAAACTCTCCAGCAAATAACCTCTAAACTAATACTTGCTTTAATAAAATATATTCTTATAATTGCAGAGAAATTTGCTGTATTAATTAGGCTAAGCACAGATTTTAATCCCATTTCTGACAGAGAAACAGCTTCTCCCACTCCCATTTCTAGTTTGCTGCACAATTCAATGCCTTGAAACTTATTTTTTTTCCCTCCAGCTAAACACATACAATTTGGTTATAAAACCCATGATGAAAATGTTTAAAAAAATGTAATAATTTTGTCTCAAAAAAAATATCCCAAACTAATGTTTGGGCAATTTTTTTCACCTTCTTAATGAATAGCTTGATTTTTAATAGTTGTTACTCAGATTATTTCTTCTTTAAGTTTTGGGTTTGTGTTAACAAAGTACTCATGGAAAGCACATTTTTAAGTTCTATAAATTTCAGTGAAGAACTTGTAATTTATTTTCCTTTTTTAAACTTTCCAGATAAGCCAAATGAAGGATTTTTTTTCCCCTATTTCCCCTAATCTAATCACAGAAAGAATCAGAAATTGATGCATTGTATTTCTCTGATACAATCACAGCTCTGAGTGATTTGCAGGGCAATAAACCCACCAAGGCAGCACCAAAACTATGGATTTAGAGTCTGAAATTGACTTTCTGAAGACAAGTTCAGAGCTACTTCTGTTTGGTTCCTTCCTTAAACGGAGTTTGTCAAATCTTTGCAACATCTGCCACAATAAAAAACCTTCAAAGTTTCATTTCTTGAGAACACAATTAGCAGTTTCACAACTTTTACCTATTTCACAACACAATTTCTCTCCTGCACAGGGAACAATAATCTTTTCTCCAGTTTGTTCAGCCTTTGCAATACAAGAAAACAACTTTTATCACTTACTGCTGAAGAATAAATTATATCACAAAATAGAGCAAAAATTAAATACATATCTATGAAAAAAAAAAAAAAAAGATGAAAGTTGAGCTACTTACAGGCAAAACATATTCCCCCCAAATTTAAGTCTCTAGCCTGGAGTTGCCTCTCAGCTCATGTGATTCACTCTTTGTTCCCTCTCCGGGTACTTTAGCTCACTGTGTCCCTTTCAAAGATGATTTGTTTTTTTGGGTTTGGAAATAGATTTCCTGTGGCTGCTACAGCACTGGCAAAGGAAGGTTAAATGATTAAACATTACTTCATTGGGTTAATCATCAGATTTCTAGAACTGGAATGGAAAGAAGAGGCACTGAAAGGTCAGGGATGAAGAACTGATTCACAAGTCTCAGCTGGTGCTCCAGGAAGTTCTCTCTGCTCAGCTCCAGTCCAGTGGCACATTGAGTCAATCCAACATTTAGTACATATTGCAAAGACAAAAAAAAACAACCCTCCCAAACCTCCAAACATACAGAGAGTAAAGAGAAATGACATATTTCACTGCTAAGTAAGATTTACCACGAAGTTCCTCTTTAACTAGGCCTTACAGAGCAGCTCTGTGTCCAACGTGGACCTCTCATCCCTATAAAATTGTCCTTCCTGAAGGACTGAATGGACAATCTTAATTACAAGGCTTCAGCCCATCCCTCTGGTTTATTTGGTTTCCATTTAGAATTCTGCTTCTTCTTTCTCCCTAAGCTGCACAAGCTCTTCTGGATTTCAGTCAGGAACATCTCACTAGATTTAGTTAAGAAGCATGAGGAAATAAACAACTTTAATAAACCAATTTTTCCTCTTTTCCCTCTGTAACAGATTCAGGAAACAGAACAGTCACAATTCATTGCTGCCACTGAAATGTGAAGCCTCTTTTTCCTTACTCTCCCGGAGCAGAGATGGATCCACAGCAAGTGACTAGTTGTGGGAGCACTGTCTGAATCCCAGTCCAGAGCCAAACCCTCACCGTGACAGAGATGTGTTCTCCACAGCCTGCACAGATGGAGCTGTAAGGATTAGGCACCATCACAGTTCCTGTTCTAACCTGCAGCTGCAATCAGATTTTAGGAGCACTGAGGAGGTTATGATTCCCAACTCTCCCTGAACACTGCTCTGCTGACAGTTGTCAATCCCTGAAAGACACGATCCAAACTTCAATGATCTGAGGCCTGGAAAAACATCCCCTATCACATTTCTGCTGGAAATGCCTTAAGCATTTCACAAACACATTGGTAATATTGGCAGAGGAAGGCCAGGACAGAAGGGAAGGAATAAATGAGCCTAAGTTCCATCAGAAGCTCATTGTGTGCAGGTTCTCCACTCCTGAGACCACACAGTGCCTCAGTGCAGGCTGGGGGAGCTCAGTGGTGTGAGCACTAATGCAGTTGCTCAATCAGGATGTTAATTAAGTGGCAGGCAGTAGCCTGAAGAAGTTCAGAGTAAATTTCTAGAAGGCTTGGGAGAAATCACACAGGGTTTGCTAGCCTGGTAAAAACAGGATTGTGCATGAACACTGACAATAAAAAGGCATAAAGGAGATGTGGATGTGCAGCACTGTGGTGGTTCTCCACCAAGCAGAGATGGATGCTCATCCCAGTC